TTCCTTCCTTCCTTCCTTCCTTCCTTCCTTCCTTCTTTCTTTCTTCACAGCTTATGCACTCACCAGAGACAGACAGAGAGAGGGGGGAAAACTGAGAAATCATTCCTCCAGAGTGAATGGCCATGCTGCAATCCCTTCTCTTAAATTCTCCTCTTGGGATGTGGGGCATGCACATACACACACCGGACATGTTTTTTTCTTTTCTTTCTTTTAATGTTCTTATGATAGAACATGTGTGCCTCAGAAAAGGAGAGAGACAGAGAGAGAGAGAGTGACATATCATCCCCCACAGGGCATGGCCATGCTGCAATCCCCTTTCCTCCATGTTTCTCATGGGATTCTGGACATGCTTACATATGTTCCCAGTATAATTTTAAAGCTGCCAGCTCCAGGACTCAAACTGCAGTCAGCCATGTAGGAATCATATATGCTTCAACCACCATGACACCAGATGACTCTTTTCTTTCTTTTAATGTTCTTATGATAGAACATGTGTGCCTCAGAAAAGGAGAGAGACAGAGAGAGAGAGAGTGACATATCATCCCCCACAGGGCATGGCCATGCTGCAATCCCCTTTCCTCCATGTTTCTCATGGGATTCTGGACATGCTTACATATGTTCCCAGTATAATTTTAAAGCTGCCAGCTCCAGGACTCAAACTGCAGTCAGCCATGTAGGAATCATATATGCTTCAACCACCATGACACCAGATGACTCCATTTGTACAATTTTTCCTTATCTTTTTTTGTTTTGTTTTGTTTTGTTTTGTTTTGCCATCAGGTGTGTGCACTTGCCAGAGAGGAGACAATGAGGGAGAAAGTGAGAAATCACCCACACTTCCCCTGAGGGATGACCATGCCACAATCCTTCTTCTCCTAGCATTTTGAGCACACACACGTGCTCAGTGTGAGTTTCAAGCTGCCAGGTCTGAAACTCAATCTGTTGTTGTCCATGTGTGAGTCCAGCGTCTTAACCACCACACCACCAGCCGGCCCACATTTGAGCACTTTGAAGAGTTGTATCATTACCAGAGAAGAAACAGAGACATCTAGCACCCTATCTACTTAAATTTGCCCTTCAGTTAGCAAAGTAAATAAACAGGTCCTTACAAAGAAATGCCTCATTTCACACAGGTTTTCCTCACCTTCCTGCAACTCTCTGAAATTCCTTAGGAGGAACAAAGTACAAACTTATTGTTATTCTAAGGTCTCCAATGTCTTTCCCATTCCCAACTGATCATCTCTCAGCATAAGCAGGATCAGGGACTCCAGAGACATGATGTATGAAATAAAACACGCTTAGGTACAGTCTTCTCTTTATCACTTAGTCACTCAAGGAGCAGGATAAAACTGGTCTCGAGGTCTAGTGGTTAAAAGAACCCGATCCCCCATGGCCCATTGCTTTCTGCATCCTATTGCTAATGACTTAAAACACAACTGGTGCATGTGTACTCAAAATCCTGACCAAATAAAGGAATGTAAGAGAAAGAATTGGGGTATAGCCACATATCATAGGGGTTTGCTATCTCCCCACCTCTCTTTCTGTGTTTGTGTGTGAGTGTGCACGTATGTGTGTGTCTTTTTATGTCTAGTGCTTAGTCCCTGTATAATTACAGTGTGGTGGTGGTGGGGAGGACAATCGAGATAATTACAGTATTTTTTAGGGGGGGGATTTTCGCTACAGGGCACGTGCACTCGCTAGACAGACAGAGAGAAACAGAGAGACAGAAAGCAAGAAATCACCACCCAGGGTGGATGACCATGCTGCAATCCCTTCTCCTCCATTCTCCTCTCGGGATCTTGGGCATGCATGAACATGGGCCCAGCATGACTTTTAAGCCACCGGGTCCGGGACGCGAACTGTGGT